AGTTAAAGATGAATCCGACTAAGTCATTCCTTAGAATGTCCAGCGGTAAATTTCTTGGGTTTGTCGTCACCACAAAAGGTATTCATATCGATCCTGATAAAGTGAAGGCGATACATGAACTACAACCCCCGAGAAATCTTAAAGAACTCAGAGGACTGCAAGGTCGATTGGCGTATATCCGTCGGTTTATATCGAACCTATCTGGAAATTGTCAACCGTTTTCTAAACTCATAAAGAAAGGCGTGTCGTTCATTTGGGATGAATCGTGTCAAAAGGCGTTCGAAGATATTAAAGCATATCTAGCAAATCCACCTATTCTCGTTGCACCGAAATTAGGCAAACCATTTTTGATTTATGTCAAAGCGACGAGCCATTCGTTAAGTGCATTACTCGTACAAGACGACGATAACGGTTTTGAACAAGCTGTGTATTATCTAAGTCGTACATTGGTAGGAGCTGAGTGTCGTTATCCGATGATTGAGAAAGAATGTCTCGCCTTGGTATTCGTAATCCAAAAAATGCGATATTATTTAGTTGGACAGACAATTTATGTCATTTCCAACATAAACCCAATCCAAGTATTCATGACCCAACCGGCCTCCATGAATTGGCGTTTAGCCAGGTAGGCTCTACTCTTATCACAATATGATTTGTATTTCAAGAAACAAAAATCAGTTAAGGGACGAGCTATTTGTGATCTTTTGGTGGAAAGCCCTACAAAAGATATAGTCAAGTTGTACGACGATCTGCTAGATGAAACTCATGAAGTTAATACCACCTCACATCAATGAGTATGGTAATTGTACTTCGATGGGGCTTCCCGAGCAACCAACGTAGCAAGCGCACCCGGATGTTCTAAAATTTCCTCAGGAGTGGGGGTCATTTTAGTTTCCCAGGAAAAGCATGTTTTACCTAGAGCATACTCATTGACCAAACCATGCTCTAATAACGTGGCCGAGTACAATGCATTAATAATTGAACTTAATTTTTTCCAAAGAGCTGGGGGTCGAATACCTTGAAGCTTTTGGTGATTCTCAATTGGTAGTTAATCAGATACGAGGAGAGTATGAAGTTAGAAATCGGGATCTGATTTCATACCACCAGGTAGCCATTGATATGGCAAGCTCGTTCGAAGAATTTTTCATCGAGTATGCTCCACGTCTCCAAAATGCATACGCAGACGCATTGGCGGCGTTGTCGGTATCTCTGGCTCAGCTTCCCGAAACAGAACAATTAATTATAGTCACCAACTTATTGTTCTAATCTACGATTTGATTGCCAAAGAAGCCCACTCAACGAGAGTTGAACCCAAAGTTCGAGATTGGCGACAGACAAGTCTTTTAGCGACCAACTTTTTTGTGAGAAAATTATTTTCCTCAACAAACATCACTATCAATGAGGAAAATATTGTTTCCTCGATAAATATCAGTAGGTCCTTTATGAGGAATATATTTTCCTCACAGTAGACCACCTTCTACGATGAAAATTTTAGTTCCTCACTAAAGATGATCATGATTTGGTCTCCTAACTAGTTATTTTATTGGGGAGGAAATGTGAGATTTTGGTGATAAAAATTTTTATCACGAAATCCACATTTAACGAGGATATAATCATTTCATCGCTGTTCTTTTGATGGAAAATAGAGGAAACCCCGCCAAATGTAACAGTGACAAAATATGATTCCCTCGCTGAAGATCCATAATCTGCGAGGAACTGTTTCCTCATCAAAAGAATCAATTAGCGAGGAAATAATAGTTTCCTCATTATTAGTTTGGTGGGAAAAAAAACCTGCTAATTTCAATATTGACAAATTTAAGGCTTCCTCGCTAAAAGTTTTTGTTTTTACGAGAAACCGTTTCCTCGTTAAAAAGAACCTATTAGCAAGAAAATTATAGTTTCCTCACTATTAATTTGGTAAAAAAATTTGCAACACCCGCCAAATTCATTGACGATAAATTAAAGATTTCCTCGCTAAAATTTTTGTTTTATGAGGAATTGTTTCCTCGTTAAAAAAACCAATTAGCGAGGAAATAATAGTTTCCTCATTATTAGTTTGGCGAAAAATATGCAAAACCCACCAATTTCAATAGCAATAAATTTAAGACTTCCTCGCTAAAAGTTTTTGTTTTACGAGGAACCGGTTTGTCATAAAAAAGAACCTATTAGAGAGAAAATTATAGTTTCCTCATTATTAATTTGGCAGAAAAATGTGCAACACCCACCAAATTCATTGACGACAAATTGAATTTTTCCTCACTAAATTTTTTTGTTTTACGAGGAACCCTTTCCTTGTTAAAAGAATCAATTAGCGAGGAAATAATAGTTTTCTCATTATTATTTTGGCGAAAAAATATGCAAAACTCACCAAATTCAATGGCAACAAATTTAAGGCTTCCTCGCTAAAAGATTTTGTTTTGCAAGAAATCATTTTCTTATTAAAAAACCAATCAGCGAGGAAAAAATAATATCCTCATTATTCGTTGGTGAAAATTTTGGTGGGAATTTGGGTAAAAAGTAGGCGGGTACTCAAAGAAAAGAGCGGGCCTCTAGTATCAATGGCCTAACAAATGTCCATATACAAGTCAACAATCGTGGGCCAATTTAGATTTTTTTTTGAATAAATATCTAGCACGAGGTATAGCTCCAGTATGGATAGAAATAATGATTTGGTTTGTCTAGTTGATGGTTCCTTTTTGTAGGTTTTTGCACAATTTACATGAAGATTAACAACCAATTAATATTTATTCAAGTTCAAAGGGATCCTAATGATAAAGGATTGCTCACAAATCTGATAAGATTTAAATAATTTGCGATTTTTGAATATACATTTATTTCAGACTTCTGAAATTAGATTATGTTAATAGATAATATTGACTTCTGAAAATAGATTAAACCAAATGTGCAATGAAATCTCTTATTCCTATTTGGCATAATGTCTAAGGTATATGGTGACCATGTTTCGATATCAATGGAGAATCGTATGTGTGTGTGTGTGTGTGTGTGTGTGTATAAACTATTTGCGATTTTTGAATATACATTGATTTTAGACTTCTGAAAACAGATTATGTTAATAGATAATATTGACTTCTGAAAATAGATTAAACCAAACATGCAATGAAATCTCTTATTCCTATTTGGCAATGAAAATAAATATAAACTACATTATCTTTGATTTGTGGGAGATTCTCCTCACAAGTTTTGGCATTACTTCGATTCTAAACACTCATTAATCATACATTCTGAGCTTGTCTAGATATATCCGTCTCGATTGTATATTTATTCCTTAGCAAGATATTTCCACTTTGAATATTTTTTAATGCCTCAACCGGGTATCCTATCGTAATAAGATCTTTCAATCTTGATCACAACAAATTTTCTCTTTGAAAAGATAGCTGAAACATATACATATGTTTATATTTTTCCCTAACCCCTAAACCCTAAACTCTAAACATGATCAAAGTAAAATACCAAATTTAACCCTCTTAATAGATATACTCACCGTCTAGTTTGTTCTGTCTAGTTTGAATTAATCTAGACGGAAATTTCCGTCTAGATTGACAAACTAGACGATATTTTTTTTAAAAAATAATACTCAACCTAGACAGAAATTCCGTCTGGGATGCCTAACAAAATTTACGCAGCCTTTTTTTCATTTCCCCGCTTATTTTTTTATTTCCCCTCCTCATCTTATTCCGCTCCGACCCTCTCCTTCTAAAACCCCCCAAATCTCTCTCTCTCTCATCTCCACGCCTAGCCCCCCTCACCAAAACCTCCAAATCTCCCTCAACCCCCACGGATCCCTCTCTCGCCACGTCGAGATCCCCATCATCCCCCTTGTACCTCCAC